AAAAAAAAAAAAAAAAAAAAGAATCTATGTTCACTTTCTTTAAAAAACCATAATATTGTTTCTAGTCTTACTCAGGAATAAATTCTTACTCATTTAAGGATGACTCCCTAAATTAGTTTTCAAATGGGTATATAGAGATATAAGAATGATTTAAACAAGATGTGATATTGAAATTATGATCATTCACTCATTTCCCCCCAATTCTTCATTCATCCACTCAACAAATATGTTTTTGAGCACCTAGCATGTGGATTCCAGACTAGCTATGCCTCAGAGAGCTCACAATTTGAGGAGCTCTCTGAGGCATGGGAACCTCATGAACTTTCAAAACTGTTTCATTTTGCTGGACTAGAATTGAATTGCTTACTTCTTGAAATAGATGTGCCAAATAACTGGAGGTTTATATATTCATTGTTATATAAATATTTTCATGAAAATGGCATTCATTAATTGTAATTAGCACATGCCCTTGCCTAACTTCAAGGGGAAAGAATAATACAACCCTTCCAGGTACCCTGAAGATGATAACTGGATACTAGATGGTACTTGACCTGCACAGCAATAAAAAGTATATTGAATAAAGACCGCAAACATAGAGAAAACTGAAAACCCAGAGTATTTGCAACTAACTATGCAATGGAAGATTGAAGGAAAGATCAATGAGATTTACCAATTAGGCAATTGATATAATGGTGATAGTGATTGGACAGGAGCAGACTAAAGTATTGGAATCTCTTTACTCTTACATTCTACAGGAGATGACTACATTTTTAAATGGGGATAAATTCATGCCAAAGAATGCAATTGATCATTTGCAGAATGAAAAAAAAACAACCTTTGAGAAAGATTTTGAAAATAAATTTTTAGAATCTATTGTTTTTCATTTAGCAAAGAAAAGGATTAGGCACAAAAAGAACCCAAAAAGTAAAGACTAGACTCCCAAGAAATAAACACATTCATTTTGCTATATCCAACACATGAGATATTGTAGAAATGAGCTATACCATACTTGGATTAATTCAGTGTACCACTCTTCAAGTAATAATATCCAAGGAGAGGGAAAACAGTTCTTAAAAAGTTATGAGGTTTGTTTGATCTGATGATCCCATGACCTACTTTTTATTGTTGTTGCTGCTGTTGCTGTTGAGACCAGGTCTTGCTATGTTGCCCAGGCTGGGCTTATACTCTCAATACTCTCACCATAGTCTTTTGAGTAGCTAGAATTATAAGTGTGTGCCACTATGCCCCCTTCCATGCCACACTCTGACAATGCCTACAGCAACTTAGAATCCAGTGTTCTTGGAATACCATGCACTTAAAAAAAACCTACTAAAATTACTAATGCTGTTATTTCTTACATTCTCATTTACAACTTATTTATTCATTTTTACTTTTATCACAGTAGTAAACATTCATTGTATAAAATTCAAATATTAACCCCAAGCCTTGTGTTCAACAAGATAGACTAGGTTATGCTGCTATAACATCAGTAACAAGCCACAAATCTCAATAGATTACAAGGATTTGGGGGGAGGGGGTCATTCCCTCTTCAGTTTAATATGAGTAGGTGTCTTAGTCCATTCAGGCTGCGACAACAAAACACCATTATGGGTGGCTAATAAACAACAGAAATTTATTTCTCACAATTATGGAGTCCAGAAAGTGAAAGATAAAGGCATTTGCTTTGATTTGGTGCTGGTGAGGGTCCATTTCCTGGCACATAGTCAGCCCCTTCTCACTATATAGCAGCATGGTGGACAGGGCAAAGTAGCATTCAGAATCTCTTTTATAAGAGTATTAATCCTGTTCAAAACCTAATCACCTCCCAAATGCTTCACCTCCTAAATCTATTACCTTAGGGTTTAATATTTTCATATATGGACTTTAGAGACCGTAGCAATGGGAGACTATACTCACTGAAGTCATTCAGGTTGACAGAAACTCGGTTTTCATACATGCTTTCACCATCCCTGTAGCATGAAGAATAGAGCTGATGGTCTCATGCTGGCAAGTATAGATCTGACCAAAAGTGTCATTTTCTCTCAAACCTGTTGTTAAAAACTAGTCTCTTGGCCAGTCAACCAGAAGTATGATTCTCTTCTCTGATCTGAAGGAGGGTATCTAGGTGTCAGTATGCCATAGGCATGCCTGTTCCAAGCCTTAGAAGCATAAATGTTATTTCCTTAAACCCATCAGTTTCCATTCCAGAGGTAAGAACCCTTGACTTTTAGCTGTTTCATTAGAATTCATTTCCATATTTCTAACTATTATGCTTATACTGATTGTATTGAATTGAATAATGCTCTCTGTCCCAAATCATGTCCTTCTCAGAACCTCAAAAAGTGACTTTATTTGGTGTAGATGATATTCATTGAGATGCAGTTATACTAAAATAGGTGGGCCCTAAATCCAGTATGACTTGTATCCTTATAAGAAGAGATGGAAACAGATGTGGAGGAAAGACAGCCACATGACACTAAAAGTAGGAATTGGAATTATGCAGCTAAAAGCCACTGTACACCAAGGATTCTGGCAACCACCAGAAGCTAGAAGAGAGGAATGGAATAGATTAGTAAACTAATATAGCACTAATATGAATAAAATGTGTAGTTATTCATGGCATTTATAATTATACCTAGCCCCTATTTCCCTTCCCTTCATCAGTAATGAACTGTTTAATTATTTTGACTATGCAAACACTGCCCACTGTGGTACCAAGTGACACTTAATGCTTTATTTTCCTGGAGTTCATTATTGCCTCATTTTTATTCTTTTATTTTCGTAAGACTATTGCTAGTTGCTATTTTTTTCACAAATGCTTCTACAGTTTCCTTTTCACTACTGTTTTCCATACTGTCAAACTAATAGCAAATGACATGGTAGGGCTTGTTGACGGTGGTTGTTTTTTTTTTTTTCCCCCCACAATGATCTGGTTAGTTTGTTAGAAACTTCCTCTTCCATTTCCAATGTCAATAGTTGAGGACACTTTTTTTTTTTCCCAGTGAGGAATCTTTTACTCCAAGTCATGTGTGGCAGAGAATAAAAAAAAAAAAATCCACATCATTACAATGTATTTTAGTCAGCTTTTTCTCTGCTGTGACTAAAAGGACCCAATCAAAACAACTGTAGAGGAGGCAAAGTTTATTTGGGGCTCATGATTTCAGAGTTCTCAATCCATAGACAGCAGACTCTATTCCTCAGGGCTCCAGGTGAGGTTGGATGTTATGGCAGAAGAGTGTGGCAAAGGGAAGCAGCTCACATAGTAATAAGAAGCTGAAAGAAAGACTTCACACACCAAATATAAAATACATACTCAAAGCTAC